ACGGCAACGGGTTTGGTTTTGTTTTTTTGGTGGTGCAACAAAGGAGCCCTGGTGGCGCAGTGGTTGAGCACTCAGCTGCTAACCAAAAGGTCAGCAGTTTGACCCACCAGCCACTCTGCAGGAGAAAGATGTGTTAGTCTGTTTCTGTAAGGATTTACAGCCTTGGAAGTGTCTATGGTACAGTTCTACCCTGTCCTATAGGGTCGCTATGAGTCGGGACTGACTTGACGGCAATGGCTCAGTGTCCTCCTGTGTACTATCCCCTTCTCCTTGGAGCTCCTTCCCTATGAGTCAGAATCGCCTTGACAGCAATGGGTTTGGTATTTTGGTTTTTGGTGGCGTTAACAGTTAAGTGCTTGGCTGCTAACCCAGTGGCTTCTCAGGGCAAAGACCTGGCAATCTGCTCCGGTTGAGATTACAGCCAGAAAACCCTATGGGGCGGTTCTACTCTCTCACATGGGGTCACTATGAGTCAGAATTGACTCAATGGCACACAACTACTATATTAACTTAACCAGAAGAACAGTTGACTGATGAACACAAACTGACCTCAACTAAATTGAATTTAGTTAAGTGGGTGTGTGTGTATTTGTCTGTTTGTCTCTCTATCTTATTACTTATTTTTTTATGGGCAAGGGGGCCTGAAAGAATTTTAAGCAGTTCACTTGTATCTGAAAAATAAACACAATATCAAGTTCCTTAAACCAACTTTCTAATTATTCTAAAATTTCCTTTTAAAACAGTAACTTTCATTAATTGTCTTAACTTCTCCCCCGTTATAAAAAGCTGACACAGACAAGGGCCTACTCACAATGAATTAAAATACAAAGGAATAAACTCAGTATAATTTCGGCCAGGTACAAGTGATAGCTTTATACAGTCAATTTCTAGAAAAAAATTAAAAGTTTGCTATGTTAGGCAGACAGGATTATGGGTGAAGCTTTTGGTTTTTACTTATTTAAAACTGCTATAATGATGTTTCTGAAATCACCAGTGAAATAACATTTCAAATTAACATTAAGCTAATAAAATAAGGTAGATAAAACTAATTTGAGGGGCATAATGTAGAAACTGCTTCCCTCTACTCTCTTCTCCAGAGCTCCGGTAGCACAAGGGTTAAGAGCTCGGCTGCTAAGCAGAAGGTAAGCAGTTCGAATCCACCAGCTGCTCCTTGGAAACCCTATGGGGCAGTTCTACTCTGTCCTCTATATAGGGTCATTATGAGTTGGAATCGACTTAACGGCAATGGGTTTTTACTCTCTTCTCCCTCTCCCTTCCTATCACTGTTCCCCCTGCAGTCACTTCTAATGTCAGATTTAGAAGAGAAACCTTCAAAAGAGATTCCTGTGTTTTAAAAAGGGATCAACCATTTCTTAACAGAAAGTCTAAGAGAATAATTCATAAATGCTGGCGAGGCCCTAGGTTAGCCCAGGGTAAAATTATTAGGTAGACTCCTTAAGCGATTCTTTGCGTTCTTTACCTAATCACAAGTGGCACCGCCCCCTAGTTTCAAGGTCCTACTCTTCTGCCTTTCCTTCTCCTCTACCAGCTCTGCTTTTCAAAAGGGACCTGAAACTCATTCATACTGAAGTAAAAACAGCTGTAACAATGTGTGTTACCCCCTCCCAGGAAAATCTTCATTTTAGCAGGGTTACAAATCTTAAAGGAGTTCCACAAGCTGAACATTTGTTAAGAGAGAGTGAGTGAGTGTGTGTATGTGTGTGTGTATGTTGGGGGCAGGAGGAGGCAAGTACTTCTAGGGATAGTGCCTTCCTTATGTCCTGGAGATCACACCACTTAGCCACTGTTCTATCAGGAAGGCTGGTCAAAAAAGACCTAACTTTTGTCTCCATTTGAGTAAATTTCTATGGGTTATTTGAATACTTGTGTGCATGGTGATCAGAATCAAAGGCATCAACAATGCAGAGGTTGGATGGGTAGCCTACGAGGACACCACTTCACACAACCCCAAAGGGCACCACCTACACTCTCTGTGAATGGCACCCCACAACACAATATGAATGGTACTTTCTGAAGTTGTACAATGCAGCAATCCAGTGCACTAGTCTGCTGTCTTTCCTTTTAAGGTAAAGAGTCGCCTAGCACCATGAAACCGAAGGATTCTCCCTGCACACTGCCCAACTGAAGGATTCTTAAATCCAAAAAGAGAATAAGCATGTAAGCCTTCATTTCTAGTCTCAGATAATCAATTCAACCTTCAAAACACAGGAAGAAAGAAAGGAAGGAAGCAAGCCCTGACAGATGAAGTGATTTGACAAGCCAATTTGATTTAAAAAAAAAAAAAAAGTCCAAGGAAAAAATAATTTATCAACCGCAAAGCTTTAAAGTGTTATTTACTAAGAAGAAATCTAAGGAATTATATTATCACTTTGGCCTTTTTTTTTTAAATTTTATTTTGTTGTTGTTGAGAATATACACAGCAAAACATACACCATACACGTACAGTTCAATGACAATGATTACATTCTTCGAGTTATACAACCATTCTCACCCTCCTTTTCTGAGTTGTTCCTCCCCCATTAACATAAACTGACTGTCCCCTAAGGTTCCTACCTAATCTTTCGAGTTGCTATTGTTATTCTGATCCCATATAGTTCTTAAAAGCGCCTAATTCTCAAAGCAGATACTTTTTACCAGTTAAGCTAAACTACTGTTTGGTTTTAAGAAGATTTCAGGGGATATTTATAGTTTAAGTTCAAAAGATTATCTCAGGGGTGCAGCCAGCCCTACTGGCTCCAGAAAGTCTGGAGTCTATGAGAATATGAAATTCTGTTCTGCATTTTCCCCCTTCTGTTCTGCATTTTCCCCCTTTTGATCAGGGTGCTTCTATACAATCTTTGATCAAAATGTTCAGTAATGGTAGCTGGGCACTATCCAGCTCTTCTGGTCTCATGGCAAAGAAGGCAGTTGTTCATGGAAGCAATTAGCCACACATTCCATACCCTCCTCCTATTCCTCACACACCTTCTTTCCTCTGTTGGTCCAGGCAAACAGAGACCAACTGCCGTACGTTGGATGGCTGCTTGTAAGCTTTTAAGACCCAACAAACTAGGAGGTAGAACAGAAGCACTAAACATGCTATTGCTTTGGCCTTTTTTTTTTTTTTTAAGTCACTTTTTTTTTCTCTTTTTTGTTTTCTTTTTTTGGCATAAAAATGATACTGTGGTTATGTCTAAAAATAGAATCCTCACCTTTTAGAGACATATACTGTAATATTTCTGGATGAAATGATATAATGTCTGTGATTTGCTTCAAAATAATCCAGAGTAGGAGCAAGTAGGTACAGGTATAAACCGGAAAGAGGTGATAAATGAAGCTGCATTATGAGTACAAGGAGATTCATTATACTCTTACAAGTCTGCACTACTTTGAAATTTTCTTTAAGTTAAACATGCTCTTACACACAATATATCTTTAACATTCAGAAAAGAGAAGCATTTAATAAACATTTGTCACAAAAAATAAAGTTTGTTTACAACTAATGTAGGAAAGACTAAAAGGACACATACAAAATAGCAGTGATTGAATTACAGAAGTGGAACTACGTTTTTTCTTCCCTCACTTATTTCCAAAATTTTCTTAGTGTATAGGTACTTCGCAATTTTTAAAAATAAGCTTAGAAAGATACCTTTGAAAGATCAAGATAATAAAAACCTCAGAAAACAATCTGTGTATGAACTGCTGAATGAGAAACTAATTTGCTCTGTAAACTTTCACCAAAAGGACAATAAAAAGAAAAAAAGAATTAACTGAGATAACATATATAAGTAACCGGTTGCTGTCGAGTCGATTCCGACTCATAGCAACGTATATAAGTACTCGATTTAAAAAAAAAAGGATAATAAAAATCCATTTAGTTCCTCGTTACTGTGGCTCCATGCTGTCAATCTTCAATCCTTACTGTCCCATTTAAGGTCTACCAAGTTATCAGGTTAACAAAACCAAAACTTTATCCAAGAATACTGAAACTTTAACTCACTAGCTTATTTTGTGAAATGTAGTAGTGATTTAATAACTGATACCTTTGGGGGGGAGGTATGTGTCTGTTTAAATACTAGTGTCCATGAGTCATTTAGGTATGCGAAACATTCAAGACTATCATATACATAACAAACAATCCCAAGAGTAAGGTCTCTACATAGACAACTTCAACCTAAAATGTTATTATTCTCATTCTGAAAACGGTCATCATTTGGCTTTTCTTTCTCTACTATTTTTTACTCAGCCTCTATTTCCTGATTCAGACTGCCTGCTGTCAGAAGTGTAAAGGAGTGGACACAGGAGACAAACATACCAAACCAAAAAGGTGAGAAGGACCCAAAAGGCTAATGAGAAAAGCTTTTGCAAGAGGCAGTTTGAAGAAGGCTACCTTAAAACGTAAACAATTTCTTACAGGTAACAGCCCATTAGCCACTGCTTTAGCCAGTTTGAAGGAGCCTTGGTGGCGTGGTGGTTAAAGAGATCAACTTCTAATCAAAAGGTCAGGTTCAAAACCACCAGCAGCTCTGTGGGAGAAAGATGTGGCAGTCTGCTTCCATAGACATTTACAGTCTTGCACTCGATGGCAGTGGGATTGGTGGTTTGGTTTTAGCCAGTCTTAAATCAATTCAGCTGCCTTTTTTACCCTTCAATTAGCAGTTAATTTCTGGACATGAATCTTAAACAGAAAAACATTTGTATTTGCCTAATAAATTACATTAATAAAAAACAACAGAATATGGTTTGCAGAGTACAACAGCACAGATACACAAAAAATTCAAAAATACCATTCATAACGGCATTTTCCATTATTTGTTGAGAAAAATAAGGAAGACTCATGTGCCGGCATAAATTTACTAAGAAATGAGTACTAAGATTTGAGATTTGAACTGACAAACCTGTAGAGTTTGGTTACCCATGTTCATTTTCTTTTTATAGATCTGAAAGAGCAATACCAGAAAGGCAATCTCAGAGAATGGCCTCCTTGAGCTCCAGCTACTGGAACGAAACGACTACATCTATTTATCAGTACCTCGGTTTTCAAGTTCAAAAAATTTACCCTTTCCATGACAACTGGAACACTGCCTGCTTTGTCATCCTGCTTTTGTTTATATTTACAGTGGTGTCCTTAGTGGTGCTGGCCTTCCTTTACGAAGTGCTTGACCGCTGCTGCTGTGTAAAAAACAAAACCGTGAAGGACCTGAAAAGTGGACCCAACCCTCTCAGAAGTGTGATGGACAACATAAGAAAACGCGAGACCGAAGTGGTCTAGCACTCTATACAAGATGATAAAAATCTTTGAAAGCAGCCTGCAACCCCTTCTGAGTAAAAAGAAAATAATTTTCTGAGGCCCAACCGTTATTAGAAAGCTGATTCCGACTTTGAAAGGTTAAAAGATCCCTAGAAGAAAGGAGTTAAATATGCACCTTTGCGTATGTATGCCTTTCATTAAATCTATAGTAAAACTTCATAAACATAAGTAATTTACAAAGCTGTTTAAAATGCCACTTCAAAAACTGGATGAGGGTTGCTAGAAAACATAAGCAAGGCTAATGATTCTAAAATAACTCAAACAATTCGTGTACACTAAAAAAATAGAACACTATTATCCTCCATGTGTTTTAGTAATAAAAATGCTATTTAATATGCTTATCTAAATCCAAAGTAAAATACTTTCAG